GTTGGGTTAAAATAAATAAAAAATATGTTTTTCCTAGGATTCTAGGAATGTGAAACAGTCACGGAAAATTTGGGTAAAGTAAACTCAAGTACTGCAGCAAAAAGCATGAAAAGGTCGAGCTCAAAAAAGTTCTCTAAAAATCAAGGTTTTAATGTTTTACCTTGTAAAAAAGCGTTTCATTACGGTCTTGAAGACCAATGAGGAAGATATAACGCTGCAAATCGTCCTCCAGGCGTCTGAGATTCGCGATCATTCGCTTAACCTGCATGTTCAAATCACACACCACGGGTGGGAGAAGCCCATGAATTCCGAGAAGTTGACGCTCACGTATGGGGAAGGCAGTTCCCTAAAGCAGATGTTAAGTTGGAGAAGTATACTGAAAACTTGTTTAAGCATGGAAAGGCTTGCAATTTACGTTTCAAATGGGAGGCTTCTTCGGCGGGACTGTGCAAGTAGGGGGTGAGTTCTAGCAATATAATTATTGTGTGGTTGGAGCTTTTTAAACGGAAGTTAAGCATGCAAGTAAACAACGCGAAGTTTTAAATGTCCTCTACTAGAATCAATATGTTAAGGCGTTAACACAGACAGATATATGGATTATCTCAAGTCCTCTAAATGGGCCTCTCGAAGAGGCGCCCAAGTAAACGTAAAGAACTACATGACCCAAGACAACTAGGTAATCACAATATTCGCAATTAGGAATACTAAGCCCGGGCTTCTTCCACATAATTACTGACGAGTTAGGAGTACATCAGTAGAACAAGGATTTTAGGCGCAACAAATTTTATTCACGATCGGACACAGACAATAGATACACATGTGTCGTATTTATAGGATGCATTTGCTGTTTAGCCGAGGACGAGAGTTACAGACCGTGTCAGGGTCGCCAGTCGCCAAATCTTGCTTGCATTTGCTCATAATTTGAGCGATTCTGGCCAGGACCCCCCGTCCAATAAAGCAGTCAATCGCGTGTCGTAAATCCATTCCTTCTCCCTGTGGTTGAGTTAACCACCCAGGCAGTCTTAGCATAAGCCAGTAGGTTTGAATTTAAGGATGGATTACCAGTCTCAGAAATGACCCAAAGTGGTGACTCACATAGTTACTACCCGTTGCGCAGAGCTTGGCTTGGTGTTACGAAACGGCCTCGGCTTGCGATGTGTTATCGCTCCCTTCCGTTGCATGACGCGAGTAACCTTCCCGCCTAACTGACAAGATCGAAACTGCAACAGACATGACAAGCAAGTTCATGCGTCCTATGGTAGGACAGTGGGTCTTTTAGCCTCACTGATTGGCGCTCTCAAGGCCTGCATCTAATCTGTGGCATGCTCTAACCTGCTTGACGATAAGCAGGTAGGAGCAATAGTAACAGGAGACCTTCAATGCTCCAACTTGAAACTGTAAAAAGGCGTTTTTGCGACTCCCGAGACAACGGTAACCATTGGTGAGTCGGGATGCTTCTTGAACAGTTGCTCAAGGAGACTGCAGTCCTATTTATCATGCTTGGGAGGGCTATTCACTACCTTTTGCAAGCAATTTTCGTCTTCAAGTTATTAAGGTAGCACTGTTAATGCTTCCCTCCCAAAATACGACGCCCACTGAGGACGATATTGAAATGACAGCGGTGAACCTAGTGCATGAGGCAGCATTAGGACGGTCGCAAGCACGAATGTGGAGTCCAAAAATAATTTTAAATTCACAGAAAACTAAATACATGTAGACTACAAGACAGACGGGTTCCTTACATCTTGCGAATATAAAGGTAAATATGAACAGAAATCGTAGCACAACTAGGGGACTTCTCCCAATCCAATTATTAAATGCAGAACACACTCCCGAAATCGCAATCAGCTGAGGTTAGATGCATCTAACCTCATGACCTTATTTGCAACTAAGATCCTATATGATCACCGACAAAAGACAGAGGCATCGAGTATAGCGTAGGCACGTTGCACCATACAGTGTTACCTTGTTCGTACAGGGATTTCTGAGGACACCAATCCCATGCGCGCGAACTTCAGTCGAGTAAAGTCTCCGAAAGAAACTCTGGAAGAGCGCCGACTTCATCCCGAGAGCTAGAAAGGCACCGCGGCAACCACAAGATCAGTATCGAAGAGCGCGTTCCAGAAGGGTCAGTTTTGTTAGCTCAAACAAACAACGCGCGTGGGTATCGTCAACAGACAAGATTCGGGACTATCTGAAAAATTCAGCCTTCATGAATAAGATAACGATCTATTACTAGGGTTTTGTGGTTTTTCTCAAAACCCGTTTTCTTATAGTGTTATCCGTCTTCAATTTGCGCTGTTGTTTTATCGACGCCGCCACATTTGAACGAAATACGGTCCGCGAAAATGCGGATAGCGTACATCATAGACAACTCATTTTCATAAGCTTTGCAACAAGGGTGCTTGGATATGTGTGCTGTAGTCAGATGATTTGTAATAAGATATGAATACGGGCTGCTCCAGACCACAGGTGTGCTCGAAGTCCATAAATTATGAAACCGACATACAAGATAAAGATTGTATTAATATTACTTTGTACTTCTCTTTCGGAACATAGTCGAGGATAAAATGACTGGAAGAAGTGGACCCTGCAAAATATTTTCAGGTTGACACCTGACAGGCCATTCTCACTGGTCATATTTCTTCAGCATTTTATGTCGGACCGATTTGCAAACCGACACCGGATGGAATCTACGGCCAAGTAGGAGAAGCCAAAATTTCAGGTTTCAATCACCTCTGGTACCGCCTCACTTCCTATGCGTACGACAATTTGCGCCACTTTGGAACATTGGATTAATAGCTTCAAACTGCTCTGTGTCCAGATACTGAGATTTATTTCCCCTTTCTTCGCGATCATTTGAGTCCGGCCAGTTACTATGGCCTGGTGCTGTTGGCTCGACAATATTTTCTTGACTTTAGAAGGGGACGGTGTACGTTTGACAATGAAATCATATGACCACCGCTCAACCAGACTCAGTAGTTGAGCCGAACTGGTATGGTCATATGGACATAAACTTGCTTGCCGGAGTCTAGCATAGTGCTCGGACATGATTTCATCCACCAATACGCCAACGAGGTTCTCATTTATTAACAAAATCGCGAGGATGGCCCTATAGCTGGTCCTCGACTAACGCATCTAGCCGCGTTCACTCAGTCTTTCTATTTAATCCTTCAGGCTAACACGCTGTTTTCGGTCGATTATGAATTTACCTGTAGACTTCAGGAGCTTTCCTGTGGTGATAATGCCATTCACTCTTGCGGGAGACATCTACGAAGGACATTGTCGAAAGTCTTGTCGAAATCCATCTCAACAGTTTTCACCTAAATGTCTTTTTGAGTAACTTTATCCCGGACTTCCGGAAAGGTTGGATGCTTCACGATGTAGGACGTCCTTATTTATAAACTATTTTGGAATGTCTGCAGTCTATATTTCTCGTAACATAATAACTGCCGTTGTTTCACATCAAAGGCAGGTTAAACGCAAGAGCTGAAGGCTGTTTCCAACCGTTCGACTGCCTATCGTAATTAGTGTGGTCGACAGACGAAGATTCCCAAATCAGAATTCAGGTAAGACGAGTTGGATTGGACAACGTTTACTGCTGCGGAAGTGCGTACATATAGCTCTGCAAGTCGTCGCCGTGAACGCGCTTTCCAGGCAAGTCGTGTTGTCAATGCCCGCCGATGAGTTGCTTAGACCCCAGCACGTGTGTGCCTTTTGCTCTGCCTCAGGGTTTACAGCTAATCGGATAAGGGTCAACCAAATCTCCCCCTATCTGCAGCGGCCCCAGATCCATCTAGCTCTTCAACTGTGCACATTATCATCGAGTCATTTGAAACCAGTCATTGTAAAACGCCTCAAAGAAGCAAGGATTGCTCAAATGCGACTTCAAAATTTACTAAGGCGCTTGTTCTGAACAGTAAAGATAAGCCAATCCTAAAAGTTCAACCGGCCTCCAGCACTCAGAATAATGAACCTGTTAATGAAACTGGACCGAATCCACCCAAATCCCGCGAATGGCCACTCAGGTCTGAGCTAGCGGTTAGGTAAAATAAGCCAGATGATAGTTCAGGGAGATCTTTATCTGTTCCTATCTCGAATACACAAATTAAAGCAAACATCCCAGTGGTGAGGCCCATCTGCACACCAACATGCAAATTGAAGGATATAAAGTTGCTGATAATTATTCCAATGCCACTACCATTCGGACAACACAAAAATAAACCCTTTTGCTAATGAAAACTAATTCTCCAAACCATTACGTTCGCTAAATAACATAAACTACCCTTCATAAAATGATCAAAATCAACAAAATCACATGTTTAACCATCCGAATTTCCCAAACCCACAAAATAGCATTTCTCTTACTGGGTGCTGCCGAATGGAACATGATCTAAGCACTAACAGACAACAAAAGCTAGGTAATTTCCGAAAAAAACTTTTAAGGGCACATCTGCAATGAGAGGGAGAACAGGGTTTTCGGATATTGTCCGTACCTACTGAGTGAGAGTAAGGAAGATGGTTTATCAGTTTTTGAATAGTTTCAAAGAAAAATTAATGATACTGAGAGAGGCATCAAACAACGGAGGAATTAAATGGATTGGGTCAGTCTCAATGGTGAAATGTTTGACTAAGAATGGATTTAACATTTATGTTTTGCCTGACTCCTCTGTAATGAAGGCATCGTTGGTACTAAGCAAAGGCGGAATGACTTGGTGGGATTTAGCAGATGATCCTTGACGGAAGATCTGAGCGACCGATTTAGAAGTATTCACGTCCTTAGTAGCTAAATACTCTCTACGCCTATCTCGCGCAAGCCTCATTTTCGAAGCTAATTCAAATATTTCAATGATTCTTAGAGGAACTGAAAATGGGCTCACAGAAGGATCTTTCAGTTGCTTCCGTAGATTTTTAAGTCTGTTTTTAAGAATGTGTGGAACAGCGGTGGAAGTGACACTCGATTTAAACGTCTTCTGTGGAACAAGGACGAGAAGACCTTCGGTTACGCATTGTAATAAATTGTTGAAAAAATTTAGATCATTATTCGAAAAAAAGTATTTTGCCAATCAAGAGGGCTTGTAAATTTATTTACTAATTCCTTGTTAATATTTGCAAAGTAAAAAATACTACGTTGTGCCGTTGGCTTTGCGGAAATGGTAACTGGAAGGCGACAACGAATTAATGCATGATCACTTGCAAAAAGGTCATAATAAAAATCCATAGATAGAGGGAAGGTGCCATTAGTAAAAAATTCAATCTAATAAACTATCGTTTCTGGTCAAAGAGTGGACTAATTAAGACAAGTTTGAAAAAGAATTAGTGTGTAGAAGGTTCTGGAATCTCAGAGAGGACGTATGTGTGTGCCAGTCATTTTCTGGCAAATTACATTCGCCTACGATGATCTTGACATCGAAAGTAGTCTCTGCAACTTTTTCACAGTTCACAGGGTTGGCTTTCATTTCCAGAGTAACTAGGAGAATTATATACACACCCGACTAAGGCCTTCCTATTTTGCGGAAGGATTACCGAAGCGAAACATAAATTTCCGGTTAAGGAGGAAATGTTCAGGTGACAAGACGACTGTGCAAGTGAGGCTCTGATGTAAAGAAGGCAATCACCGCCGCGTCATTCGACACGATCCTGGCCGTATAAACTGAGGCTATCTATATTGAGTGTCGAGTCTAAAATTAGAGGGTGAGCCCAAGATCCTGTAATGCACAAAACATCTGGGTCAAACTCGACAGCCACACTTATTATTTGTGCCATCTTTTGCACGACTGATCCTGAGTTGAGAAAGACAATACTGAGCGTATTCCTAATATGTAAACTCCGCCCATTGCTACTTATAAAAAACGGAGAGCTGGCGGGGGAAAATGAAGCTGTTGGGATGAAGCAATTGGAGGAAGACAAATTTGCTGTGGTGTAAAATTTGTGGGGTAATTACCACTAAGTAGAAGGGGGGGGGGTCATTGATCGTGTTACGGAATTCACTCATCCCGTTGTATCTTGGGGCTCTCTATCTTCCTCTCCACGACGGCTTATAAGCCAGGAATTGCCATGCCATTTGTCTACGCATAGGAGCGTTTTTATTATAAAGTTGAGACTTCGCTTTTGTCTGTCTTCTTTCCCACCGGCAACGAGGTCATGAGAGGCATGAACTTCTCACACTATTGAGACGTAAGTGATTGCAACTTCCCTTTAAAAAGGGCACCAAGAACAGAAAAAATTGATCTGTAACGAGACATGAAACTGTTAAAACTATCAAGCTCTCATTGGTCTGTTTTTTTTTCATATGTATAATGGATTTCAAATGCATTTTAGTTTCCTTCAGATGTTGACGAAGGGTTGCCTGAGGTTTCATGTCGAAAAAGCAAAACAAGACTGTAGTCCAAACATTTATATTAATGATACCTGCCGGAACTTCAAGGATATATGGATAGGAATATGTATGATAGAAAATTTCCTGAAAGCTATCAATATTGGTGGACCAGACAGCACAATTGATACTACGCAATTTCTACTCAAAAACAGAATGCAAGCTGGAAAAAACGGGTGAATGACAATTTGTAGGTAACAAGATAAAACTGTGGATAAATTTGTATTGGATATTGAGGCTATGTAGGATAAAAAAGAGAACAGTATAGGTCTGTTACTAGCCTATTAACCCACGATAAAAGCGGTCAGTGGAGATGTTTTATTGTTTAAAATATAATTTTTTTTCAAGATTTTTTCGAGGAAGACCATTTATATACGCGTATAAATCTTAATATGATTGAGACTATGTTGGTGAAAAACTATGACACTATTTTTCCGTTTTATGATAAATCGACGAAACACGACGGAAAGCTTAGATGACTTATGGCAAAAAATAAGGAATTTTGTCAGATATACACTGGAAAACTGTGCAGGAGATTAAGAAATCGAATTCAAAATATGTCTCTCATTAATCTTTTTAAAATCCTGCTGCTCGCGTTGACCATTCCACGAAGTTTCTTGAAGAAGGCGTCTCCGTCACAATCCATAGATACTCGTTTGATGAGTTACGTTAAGGCTTTGCGCCTTTC